AGAACAGAACTAGAACAGAACTAGAACAAAACTAGAACAGAACTAGAACAAAACTAGAACAGAACTAGAACAGAACTAGAACAGAATTAGAACAGAACTAGAACAGAACTAGAACAGAACTAGAACTAGAACAGAACTAGAACAGAACTAGAACAGAACTAGAATAGAACAGAACTAGAACAGAACTAGAACAGAACTAGAACAGAACTAGAACAGAACTAGAACAGAACTAGAATAGAACAGAACTAGAACAGAACTAGAACAGAACTAGAACAGAACTAGAACAGAACTAGAACAGCACTAGAACAGAACTAGAACAGATCTAGAACAGAACTAGAATAGAACTAGAACAGAACTAGAATAGAACTAGAACAGAATTAGAACAGAACTAGAACAGAACTCGAACAGAACTAGAACAGAACTAGAACAGAACTAGAACAGAACTAGAACAGAACTAGAACAGAACAGAACTAGAACAGATCTAGAACAGAACTAGAATAGAACTAGAACAGAACTAGAATAGAACTAGAACAGAATTAGAACAGAACTAGAACAGAACTCGAACAGAACTAGAAAAGAACTAGAACAGAACTAGAACATAACTAGAACAGAACAGAACTAGAACAGAACTAGAACAGAACTAGAACAGAACTAGAACAGAACTAGAACAGAAATAGAACAGAACTAGAACAGAACTAGAACAGAACTAGAACAGAACTAGAACAGACTAGAACAGAACTAGAACAGAACTAGAACAGAACTAGAACAGAACTAGAACAGAACTAGAACAGAACTAGAACAGAACTAGAACAGATCTAGAAGAGAACTAGAACAGAACTAGAACCAAAACTAGAACAGAACTAGAACAAAACAAGTACAGAACTAGAACAGAACTAGAACAGAAATAGAACGGAACTAGAACAGAACTAGAACAGAACTAGAACAGAACTAGAGCAGAACTAGAACCAGAACTAGAACAGAACTAGAACAGAACTAGAACAGAACTAGAACAGAACTAGAACAGAACTATAACAGAACTAGAACAGAACTAGAACAGAAATAGAACGGAACTAGAACAGAACTAGAACAGAACTAGAACAGAACTAGAACAGAACTAGAACAGAACTAGAACATAACTAGAACAGAACTAGAACCGAACTAGAACAGAACTAGAACAGAACTAGAACAGAACTAGAACAGAACTAGAACAGAACTAGAACAGAACTAGAACAGAACTAGAACAGAACAGAACTAGAACTGAAATAGTGAGAGATTGCAGATTTCTATCATTTATTAATGACTAAAACCGTCTTACTTCTATTTATTTAATTAAATAACTTTTTGAAAAACAATTCAAATAATAGGAAAACGTTACTATTCTCTATATAATTCCTAAATAACAACTCTGCTTTTCGACATTCAACATTTTTTACTACAACAGAACTAGAACAGAACTAGAACTGAAATAGTGAGAGATTGCAGATTACTATCATTTATTAATAACTAAAACCGTCTTACTTCTATTTATTTAATTAAATAACTTTTTGAAATACAATTCAAATAATAGAAAAACGTTACTATTCTCCATATAATTCCTAAATACCAACCCTGCTTTTCAACATTCAACATTTTTTACTCTGATACTAACATTTCACAGTGAATACTTGCTTTCAAAAAGAGCAAGCTGATGTAAACAAAACAAAAAACTAAAAAAAACAGCTGACGTGCCCTGACGCGGAATTGAAAAAAAGCCGGCTAAAAAGTTATTTTTAATTGTTCTTAACAGTATAAAAGTAATTAAACAAATTAAAAAATTTGTCAACATAATAACTAAAACACAATGCAAACTTATATATGGCCCATATTATTGCCATTACTATTTCTGGCCTATTCATTGCCTCTCTTTCTAAGAGTCTATGCCACCACCCAAATGGTTATAGATGAGGAGTTTCATTTGAGGCAAGGACTACATTTTTGTAATAAAAGATTCGAAGTGGTAGGTGCAAAACTATATTTAAGCATACAATTTAATAAATTAATTACGATTTAGTGGGATTCTAAAATCACCACCTTCCCTGGTCTTTACTTGTTCTCCTTGATATTAAATCCTTTGGATTTTTGTTCGGTATTGGGTTTAAGATTGATTTCTTTGGCTGCAGCTGCTATAAATGTAGTTTTACTCTATAAAATCAGACGCCGCAATTTGGATAATATACAATCGTCCTTAGCCGCCCTAGATGCTTTCACCATAGCCGCTCTACCTCCTTTATACTTCTTTTCACATCTTTACTATACCGACACTTTGTCTCTGACTGCTGTCCTAATGTTTTATATGTACTGGCAAAAGGAACAGCATTTGCAGGCTTCTGTTTATGGTAAGTTTTGTGTTGAAAATAAATTTGGAAAGATTTTCTAATGGAAATTTAAATTTTAGCTGCTGCTAGTGTTCTTATGCGCCAGACTAATGTTGTCTGGCTGGGCATGGCTTTTGGCACTACAGCCTTGGATATTTTAACCAAAAATTATGCAGAATTTAAACGAATCAAGGCACAGGAGGTTAAACTATATAAACCAAAGGTAAACAACAGATTTTTTTGTATAAAAATGATGGCAAATTAAAAGACTTTTTAAAAATCGCATGGGCCACTATTTGAGCAAGACCATCCATTTCGAGTGTTTCATATAAATGTTGATATGAGCTGAGAAACCAAAGTGATCACCAATTTACTTCCGTTTTGTGACTGGCTCACTATTTAAGGGAGTAGAGCCGATTGTAGTTTTTTCATTTAAAAGATGATTATTAATGGGAAATGAAAGTAGGTTGCCTTCCCTTTTGCGATTGGGTCTCTTTAAAATCGATTATTGATGAAAATTTTTGGTGATCACAGATGTAAATCAGTTTTTTCCATAAGTTATTTAAATAATTAGAGCCGATTTTACGTTTTATGTATAAAAAGAGAGGAAATTGTTGTGATCACAGATGATCCTTTCTTTTTCTTCTTTTTTTTAATATTTTTCTTTAAAATTTCTCATGCTTTCGTTCTTCTTCTTTCAAGGTCTTGTTGGAAATCGTCAGTAATTTTAAACTCTTACTGAAATGCATTTGGCATATTTTGAAAAAATGCTCTTTCTATATGATTATAATACTGCCCTTCATAGGTTTTGTTTATCTCAATGGTTCCATAGTATTGGGAGATAAAAGGGCTCATGAAGCCACCATCCATGTACCACAGGTATTTTAAACTTTGCTCTAAAAAAAAACAACAAATTAATTCTAATACCTATAACATCTTTACAGTTATTTTATTTCTCCCTATTCTGCCTAATATTTGCCGTCTCCAATACGCTCTGTCAATTGCGTTCCACTCTACAACTGCTGTTAAAAGAAAAACTTGTATTCATCTTTCTTACCGGTGTCTTTATGCTTATAGTCAAATGGAATACTTTAGTTCATCCTTATCTATTGGCCGATAATCGTCATTATATTTTCTATATATGGCATCGTTTTTATCATCGTTATTCTTGGTTCCGTTATGCCATGTGTCCTGTTTATGTTTTAGCCTTAATGTTTATACAACAGGGCATTAAACATTTACGTTTTTCTTTTAAATTAATGTTTTGCTTGGCGGTCTTTTTGGTTTTATGTTTTCAACGTTTGTTGGAAGTACGCTATTTCCTAATACCTTTTGTTTTATTCCGTTTAAATACTCGTCCAAATCCTAAAAATCGTTTAGCTCAATGGCTAGAGTTGGGTTTCTATGTTGTTTTAAATGCTTTAACATTTTATATATTCTTTACAAAAGAAATTAAATGGAAAGATTTTAAGGAACCTCAGAGGATAATATGGTAAAGTTGGTAATAGAAAGTGAGTTTGATGAGCATGTTTTTTACTTTATAAAAGACTTAATATGCATTATTTAATAATAAATATATTTATGTCATTACAGAATTTAAAAAAAAAGCTGTGAATTGACTATTTTGGTTGTAGAAATGAAAGGATTTATAGGAGGACAATTATGTTAAGAGCTATTGCAGAGTTGGGATACAAAATCTAAGGTAATTATAAATTTTTTTAAAACCCCCAGTAAAATGAAATAAAAAGAAAATATGTCGCATGAAGAATGCAAAAAGGTGAGAAAAAGTTATAGCTTTAAAGCAAAATGTAAGACTAAAGTGGAAAAGAAGTATTGTTGTCTACAAAAAAGGTTGTTGAGTTTAATATACTGTGACCCTAAATTACTATAGCTTCGATTTGATTCGAAATTATTGAAATTTCTAATGTAATTTCCATTTCATTATATAAAATTCCTACTGTGAAGTATATGGCTTACAAATTATTATTTAAAAACACATCTAGTTAGTAAACATTTCACTTTTTTTGAATAAATTACTTTAATATTTAAAACTTTTTAACAAATATTGAATATATTTACGCTGTACTTGAACTAATAACACATTAAACTATTGCCCGTAATTCAACAAACACAAAAATACAAACAATCCTTTTTTGCAACACATACAAACAACCACTTCACACTTTTTTTTTGCGATTGCATGTAATATACCGTTATTTTGATGTGCAATTGAAAATCATTTAAAAACTTCAACCGAAAAAAAAAAACACAGCAAAAATTAGTTTGCTACTGAAATAAAACTAAAAAGAAATCATAACTTTTGAGTGACAGCTTAAATACAAGTATAGATTTAATATAAAGGTTGATATATAAACTATAACAATAAAAATCAAGTGCAATATAATAGGCCCATATCAATATTGAATAATAGCATATTCAAACAAATATGCAAATTAAAATTAAACAAGGAAAAGTGGGTGTGAAAGTTATGAATTGAAAAAGAAAAAAAAAAAAGAATTGCAACGGAAATAAATTGTTAGAAAGTTAACATGGTAAAGTAAGAAATGTGAAAGCAATTATTCTTAAAACATAGAGCAAAGACAGCAGACATTAGGAAACAAAGGATTAAATTAAAAAAAAAATTAGATGGCAGCTCAATTTAAGCAACTCGGTGGTACTCCCATAACGCCAGAATTGGCAGTGGTAAGTTTTTCTTGTGGTTTTAAAAAAATCGTAGTTAATTTTGTAATTTTAAAAGGAACTAAGACAATTAGTTTTTGGCACCTCGGCCATACCCATGAGAGCAGAATGGACTCAAACACCCTTTACCTTTGGTTCAGCGAAAGAAGAATTTGCCTATGGCTTAAGGTCTCCGCGTAATGCTACCCGCGGTCTATTATCAGTGGTTCAGGGTTTTATATTAAAACATTTGCTATTTGGTCGCAAATCCTCTAGGAGTGCCGCCATGGCAGAGTATTAACTTTTTAAAATAAATTCAAATACTATTATTACATAACTCTATTCTATTCTTAAGTCCTCTACAACCCTCTCTCGATATGCAACGCGAATCTTTACTTCTGGCTTTATTGGAAATTTTACGTTCTATAGCGGATAAATCAAAAGTCATTATGGTTTTACCATCACCCGATGATGAGTGTTTTGTGGAACATAGCGCCACCTATTTTCATGATGGCATAACTGAAAAGGTTAAAATTTTTCCCATATTCTCAAATGTTATGTAAGATTTAATTTGTTATCGTATTATAGCTTTATATTTTCCATTTAAATCCCAATGAGGAATTGGAGTTTTTTGTTAAACGTTATTTTAAAATTGTAAGTATTTTTGTTTTAAGGAAAATTTTAAAAAATTGTATTGAATTTTATTTAAAAATTGTTCGTTTGCTTGCAGTTTACCGAAGAAGATGCTCCTGGTACTTTGTTGTTTTTGTATAGCGCTGTTTTGACACGCACTATGGGCAAGTAAGTTCGAGATTGATATTTTTCTTGCCTAGACAGTTTTTTTTATAGAATAGAGTCTAGCCTAGTCTGTTTTCTTCTAGAATAGAGTCTTGCCTAGACAGTTTTCTTCTAGAATAGAGTCTAACCAAGTCAGTTTTCATCTAGAGTCTATCCTAGTTAGTTTTCTTCTAGAAAAGTGTCTTTCCTAGACAGTTTTCTTCTAGAATAGAGTCTAGCCTAGTCAGTTTTCTTCTAGAAAAGTGTCTTGCCTAGACAGTTTTCTTATAGAAAAGTATCTTGCCTAGACAGTTCTCTTATAGAAAAGTGTCTTGCCTAGACAGTTTCCTTATAAAAAGGTGTCTTGCCTAGATAGTTTTCTTCTAGAATGCAGACTAGTTAGTTTTATTCTAGAATAGAGTCTAGCATAGTCAGTTTTCTTCTAGAAAAGTGTCCTGCCTAGACAGTTTTCTTCTAGAATAGAGTCTAGCCTAGTCAGTTTTCTTCTAGAAAAGTATCCAGCCTAAACAGTTCTCTTATAGAAAAGTGTCTTGTCTACACAGTTTTCTTATAGAAAAGTATCTTGCCAAGAAAATATTTTAATCTATTGCCTATTTTCAAGGGTACGCAGTGACCTCGATTCTACTAAAATTGTTCCCCTAACCATGAGCAACAATGAGGAAGGTTCTCTAATGATAGTAACACTTTTACTTACCGGACGAGCCACGCCCTACATACACAATGGTGTTATAAATGTGGGCGATGAAAATAGTTATGTGAGTAGCTAAAAGAAATTCTAAAAAATGTTAGTTTTTAAACAGTTTTCTTCTAGGCCTCTCCCCAATATGGTATTTTAAAACGTTGTGCCATTGGTTTACTGCTGTGGGAAAATGAAAGTGGCCAGCTTAATACAGCAGTGGCACGTCAACCAGGCTCACGCCTTAAGACACCCAATTGTCCCATATGGATAACACTGTGTGCGGGACATTATGGTGTCATGTTTAATAAAAATCCTGAGCTGTTGCGTAATTATCATGCTGAATCACGTTTTGATTTGTATTACTATAGTTGCTCGGGTCGTGAAATAGCCATGACTATTGATAATCGTGTTTATAACGAACAGGCTGCTGGTATGTTGGAAAATCAACAATCTTCTTCGGAAAATACTTCTATTGCGGCTAGACCTTCGAAAGAGGATAATTTTTCGAAGGATGAAACATCGGCGGCTAAGGATGAGCCGACGGTTAATACGCCTCTACAGAAATTGGTGCATACTAAATGGGAAGAGGCTCAAATTAAGTTTCATGTCCAACCCTCCATGTACTCAGCAGTAAGATGGGGCTGTGGGGTTGAAGAAATTGTTGTAGAGTTTTTAAGCGCTTAAAAGTGCTATTAGTTTTCTAAGGCGTTCTCAAGGGCAGTGCTTAATGCTTAAGCTTTTTGATTTAATTAAAATAATGCAATAAAATCTTTTACAAGCTTTTGAAATAAATGTAGTTTGAAATTAATTGTAATATAGGGGGTGTTTTAAAAGAGGTTTGGCTATAGGGAAGTCATACCTTTTGCCCTAATTTTAGACTTAAATTTGATTAAAACTCTTGTTTTTATTTAATTTTTTTTTTATTATTGTTTGTTATTTATTTTTCAATATCATAAAAATATAGTAAAAGTTTTATTTTAAGTTATTTCTGTATTTTGGTAATAATTTTTACAATTTATTTTATATAAATTTTTATTTCTTTTAAATATTCTTTATTTAGTTTTAGTTTTATAAGTATAATTATTTAAATACTAACTAAAAAAATTGAGAAATTTATTAGTAAAGAGTTAATTTAGTAATTTATTAGTTTAGTAGTTTAAAAAATTTTCAAATAATATAAATAGTTTTGAGTTTTTTTTAGAGATAATTAAAAAATCCTATAAATATTTACATAGGTTTAGGAAATAACTTAAAAGTAAGAGCTGTTAGTCTAATATGTTTCTCATTAGGTGGAAATTGCTCACTTTGAATAAGAACTAGAAGGAAAGTATTCTGTTGAAATTGGAAATGTTTTAAAGATTTGGTCATTTATGTTAGAGAAACAGCTTTTGAATAAGATTGTTAAGTGTTTAACTTTTACTTTGGTTTTCAGGATATGAAGTATTAGATATCTTCTCCTGGATACATGGAATCTATTTGCAATGGAATTTGGAATCCGGCCTGACTAAACAAAGTATTATAAGCAGCGGGCCCTCAGCTGGAGTCAGAAAATATAAAATTTACTGAATTTTAAAGTTTTTTAAGATTTTTTTTTTGATTTCTGGGTCAACTTTTATGTTTGCTTTACATAAACAGGTTCCCAACTCGTTTCCTTAATGTTTGAGCCCTTCTATTGGCTTCATAGATTCCAACTATGTTAAAATTTGGGCTCCGGCTGTGTTAAAGTTTGTCTAGAACTAAAGACTTTAAGCTGGATTGATAAATTTCTATTGCAGTGTAACTGGGACTTTGCATTTTCAGTTTTTAAGTAATAGACACCTTCTTCGGGATTCTTAAGTTCCATTTAGGATAAATTTTGGACTCCGGACTCCTAAAATTGTATGCAGCAGACTATCGGCTGGAGTTTGAAAACGTAAACTTTGTTGTATTTAAAAGATTTTCTGTTTTATAGAGCAATTTTATCGTTCGTTTTACATAAACAGATTCTTAATTAGATTTCCAAATGTTACAGGCTTTCTATGGGATTCATAGATTCCAACTATGTTGAAATTTGGGCTACCAATGCTTTAAAGTTTGTCAAGAACTAATGGCCTTAAAGTGTACATATAAATTCCTATTTTAGTGCAACTGGGACTTTGCATTTCCAGCTTTTAAGTGTTAAAACAACTTCTTAAGGATTCATAGATTCCATTTATGTTAAATTTTCAACTCCGGCTTGTCTTAACAAAGTATTCTGTGCAGCAGACCTTCGGCCGGAGTTTGCTAATAACAAATCTATTGTATTTGAAATTTGTTTACGTTCGTTTTACAGAAACGAATCCTTTAAAAGCTTCTCAAGTCTCCAAGACTTTCTGGCAACTCCATAGATTCCAATTGTGTCGCAACTTTGTCTCCATTCTTGTCAAACTTTGGCAAGGCATAATGTCTTTGAGACAATTTGATAAATTCTAACTGTGTAATAACCAGAACTTCGTGTTTCCAGATTTTAAGTGTTAAATGCCTTCTTTGAGATTCAAAGGTTCTATTTATGCTACAATTTAAACTCCGGCCAGACTTCAGAACGTATTATGCACAACAGACCTTTGGCCGGAGGCAAGGGATACAATTTTTTCACAAGGTTTGATATAAACTAAAATTGCAAACAATAAGGACATTTTATTTTTCTAAAAAGTGACTAGCATATGTTGGACATATTCATATAATGGATATGCATAAATTGCATGTGTAAATATCCTTGCAAATTAGTTCCAAAGGATGATTTTCAGACAACAGGCAACATTTTTTGTGACATCAACATATTTTTAAATAAAATGTGTGTTTGCCTTAATTTTCTATACTCAAACTAGACTAAAAACATCCTTAGCTTATATTTATATATAATCCAGGCGAAAATGTCCTTGAATTTTAGCTCCAAAGGATAATTTTTAAAAACTTTGCAATGTGTTTGTAATAAGCTCAAATTTGTAAACATATTGAATAGTAAACTCAAAAATTAGTAACCAAACAGGACCAGGAGCTATTAAGGACTTCATTTTTATGTAATCCTGCTAAAAAAGTCCTTTAAATTTAGCTGAAAAGGACATGTTTTTAACAAAATCTACTCAATGTTTACATTATACTTTGCTTTCAATTAATAAAGCCCCAAAGTATGCTTTAAAAATAATTCATATTTATTTGCTAGAAAAACGTAAATACATTTTAAACAACTGCTGAACATTTTGTATGAAATTTAGTTTTTGGCTTTTATCTCCTAAACGGCTGGCCGGATTTCGTCGTTGGACGCTATACGTAAAACTGGCACCCGCTGAATCCGAAAATTAGGTCAAATTTCAGATTCGAGTCAACGATTTTCGCTTAAAAGTGAATTTTTTATTTGCCAGTCCCACTGTAATAAAATTAACTCCCTTAAGTATGCTTTACTTTTTCAAGGTTATTCCTGTGTTAACTTTTTGATTGCAGCTTGCAATGCAATAATCCCCAAATTTTATTGAAAATCGAATAATTCTTGAAAATCATTCGATTAATCGTTACAAAATAATCAGTTTTATAGCAATTCGACTACCAGCTCTTGTTTATTTAATTTTAAACTTAAGTACATTAAAAATAATTAGAAATAATTATAAAATCTTTGTTTGAATAAAATTTAAATTATAGGAAATTTGATTTAAATTTAAAAAATATAAAAAATTAAAAACTAAAAATGCATATTATATAAATAATTTAAATTGAATTATAATAAATTCTAATTTCAAACAAAATGAAATACTCTTTTGTGAACTAAAACGTTAAAATTTAGGTTCAATAATAAAATTAAAAATAAAAATCTTGTGAAAATAATAATTTTGTTTGCAATATTTAAACGAATTAATATTAATCAAACGCTTATTAAAAAAAATATTAAAAACTAACTGAAATCTCTGTTAAACAATAATAAAATCAATTTAAATTCTTTAAAAATTCTTAATAAATATAACTTAAAATCGTTTACTTTTAATATTTAATAATATTTCTTTAGTATTTATGTCTTTTTCTTTTGTTTTTTATATATTTAAAAAAATGATTGTATCTCTTCTTCATATGTCTTGCTAGCTAAATACGTACTTTTTTTAAACTTTAGTTTAATTATAAATATTTACATATTATTTTAATTAGTTAATAATATTTATTAATTAATTATATATACAATATTTAATATTCGTTTAATATGTTTTATGTTATTTTTAATAAAGCTTAACACTTTGTGCTTAAATATTTCTTTATTTACTTTTCATACAATTTTTTGTTTTTTTTTTTTGGTTTATTTTTATATTTTTACCTGGTTTTTTTATTTGGGAACAAAAATGTTTGTTTGGTTTTATTTAACTTTTCTTTGGTTTTTTAAATTTCTTAGTAAAGTTATTGCTAATATTTTAAATTTACTGTAGAAGTTTTTCTATATGTTGTGTCTTTCTTTGTTAATTACTAGTGTTTTGTTAAGTCTATTAAATATTTAACTTTTTTTTGGGGGGTTTAAGGTAAATTATTTAATAATTTAAATTTAAAGTTAATGTCTTACTAGCATTTTTTCTAAAAGCATTAAATTTGTATCACCATATTTGGTCGCATTTACAATTTCTGCAGGATTATTCTTTTTAGTTTGTGTATGCCAAGTTAAAATCTGGAAAAAGAGAATAATAATTAGCAAATTTGACCTTGAACTCGAACTAAACTCGATTTGAACCAAAACTGAACTAGAATTGAACTAGAACTGAACTAGAACTGAACTAGAACTGAACTAGAACTGAACTAGAACCGAACTAGAACTGAACTAGAAAAACTGAACTAGAACTGAACTAGAACTGAACTAGAACTGAACTAGAACTGAACTAGAACTGAACTAGAACTGAACTAGAACTGAACTAGAACTGAACTAGAACTGAACTAGAACTGAACTAGAACTGAACTAGAACTGAACTAGAACTGAACTAGAACTGAACTAGAACTGAACTAGAACTGAACTAGAACTGAACTAGAACTGAACTAACTGAACTAGAACTAACGACTGAACTAAACTAGAACTGAACTAGAACTGAACTAGAACGAACTAGAACTGAACTAGAACTGAACTAGAACTGAACTAGAACTGAACTAGAACTGAACTAGAACTGAACTAGAACTGAACTAGAACTGAACTAGAACTGAACTAGAACTGAACTAGAACTGAACTAGAACTGAACTAGAACTGAACTAGAACTGAACTAGAACTGAACTAGAACTGAACTAGAACTGAACTAGAACTGAACTAGAACTGAACTAGAACTGAACTAGAACTGAACTAGAACTGAACTAGAACTAGAACTGAACTAGAACGAAACTGAACTGACTAGAACTGAAGAACTGAACTAGAACTGAACTAGAACTGAACTAGAACTGACTAGAACTGAACTAGAACTGAACTAGAACTGAACTAGAACTGAACTAGAACTGAACTAGAACTGAACTAGAACTGAACTAGAACTGAACTAGAACTGAACTAGAACTGAAACTAGAACTGAACTAGAACTGAACTAGAACTGAACTATAAACTGAACTAGAACTGAACTAGAACTGAACTAGAACTGAACTAGAAACTGAACTAGAACTGAACTAGAACTGAACTAGAACTGAACTAGAACTGAACTAGAACTGAATAGAACTGACTAGAACTGAACTAGAACTGAACTAGAACTGAACTAGAACTGAACTAGAACTGAACTAGAACTGAACTGAACTGAACTAGAACTAGAACTGAACTAGAACTGAACTAGAACTGAACTAGAACTGAAACTAAACTGAACTAGAACTGAACTAGAACTGAACTAGAACTGAACTAGAACTGAACTAGAACTGAAAGAACTGAACTAGAACTGAACTAGAACTGAACTAGAACTGAACTAGAACTTAACTAGAGCTGAACTAAAACTAGTATAGTCTATAGTCTAGTCTATAATCTAGTCTATAGTCTAGTCTATAATCTAGTCTATAGTCTAGTCTATAATCTAGTCTATAGTCTAGTCTATAGTCTAGTCTATAGTCTAGTCTATAGTCTAGTCTATAGTCTAGTCTATAGTCTAGTCTATAGTCTAGTCTATAGTCTAGTCTATAGTCTAGTCTATAGTCTAGTCTATAGTCTAGTCTATAGTCTAGTCTATAGTCTAGTCTATAGTCTAGTCTATAGTCTAGTCTATAGTCTAGACTATAGTCTAGTCTATAGTCTAGTCTATAGTCTAGTCTATAGTCTAGTCTATAGTCTAGTCTATATTCTAGTCATAGTCTAGTCTATAGTCTAGTCTATAGTCTAGTCTATAGTCTAGTCTATAGTCTAGTCTATAGTCTAGTCTATAGTCTAGTCTATAGTATAGTCTATAGTCTAGTCTATAGTCTAGTCTATAGTCTAGTCTATAGTCTAGTCTATAGTCTAGTCTATAGTCTAGTCTATAGTCTAGTCTATAGTCTAGTCTATAGTCTAGTCTTAGTCTAGTCTAAGTCTAGTCTATAGTCTATAGTCTAGTCTATAGTATGTCTATAGTTAGTCTAGTCTATAGTCTAGTCTAGTCTATATAGTCTAGTCTATAGTCTAGTCTATAGTCTAGTCTATAGTCTAGTCTATAGTCTAGTCTATAGTCTAGTCTATAGTCTAGTCTATAGTCTAGTCTATAGTCTAGTCTATAGTCTAGTCTATAGTCTAGTCTATAGTCTAGTCTATAGTCTAGTCTATAGTCTAGTCTATAGTCTAGTCTATAGTCTAGTCTATAGTCTAGTCTATAGTAGTCTATAGTCTAGTCTATAGTCTAGTATATAGTCTAGTCTATAGTCTAGTCTATAGTCTAGTCTATAGTCTAGTCTATAGTCTAGTCTATAGTCTAGTCTATAGTCTAGTCTATAGTCTAGTCTATAGTCTAGTCTATAGTCTAGTCTATAGTCTAGTCTATAGTCTAGTCTATAGTCTAGTCTATAGTCTAGTCTATAGTCTAGTCTATAGTCTAGTCTATAGTCTAGTCTATAGTCTAGTCTATAGTCTAGTCTATAGTCTAGTCTATAGTCTAGTCTATAGTCTAGTCTATAGTCTAGTCTATAGTCTAGTCTATAGTCTAGTCTATAGTCTAGTCTATAGTCTAGTCTATAGTCTAGTCTATAGTCTAGTCTATAGTCTAGTATAGTCTATATAGTCTAGTATAGTCTAGTCTATAGTCTAGTCTATAGTCTAGCCTATAGTCTAGTCTATAGTCTAGTCTATAATCTAGTCTATAATCTAGTCTATAGTCTAGTCTGTAGTCTAGTCTATAGTCTAGTATATAGTCTAGTATATAGTCTAGTCTATAGTCTAGTCTATAGTCTAGTCTATAGTCTAGTCTATAGTGGAGTCTATAGTCTAGTCTATAGTCTAGTTTATAGTCTAGTCTATGGTCGAGTCTATAGTCGAGTCTATAGTCTAGTCTATAGTCTAGTCTATAGTCTAGTCTATAGTCTAGTCTATAGTCTAGTCTATAGTCTAGTCTATAGTGGAGTCTATAGTCTAGTCTATAGTCTAGTCTATAGTCTAGTCTATAGTCTAGTCTATAGTCTAGTCTATAGTCTAGTCTATAGTCTAGTCTATAGTCTAGTCTATAGTCTAGTCTATAGTCTAGTCTATAGTCTAGTCTATAGTCTACTCTATAGTTTAGTCTATAGTCTAGTTTATAGTGTTGTCTACAGTCTAGGCTATAGTGTAGTCTATAGTCTAGTCTATAGTCTAATCTATAGTCTAGTCTATAGTCTAGTCTATAGTCTAGTCTATAGTCTAGTCTATAGTTTAGTCTATAGTCTAGTCTATACTCTAGTCTATACTCTAGTCTATAGTCTAGTCTATAGTGTAGTCTATGGTCTAGTCTATAGTCTAGTCTATAGTCTAGTCTATGGTCTAGTCTATAGTGTAGCCTACGGTCTAGTCTATAGTCTAGCAAATAAAAAATAAATAAACTTACCTCTGTACAATTATTGGCCAATAATTCTATTTCTGTATTATTTAAAGGAGCTAAACTCTTTAGGAAACCATCCTCCTCATAGCCCGTCTTAAAGGGCATCTTGGCATTAGGACGATCATGTAAAAATTTTACACTAACAGCAAAGCCAGCCATATCAACCGGATATTTACGGCCACCAATCCAGCCATCATAGAAACCCGTCAGTTTGCCAGCCTTAACAATAGGACTACTAACACCAAATTTGGTAACTAAACCCACTGGCCACATTGAAACCTTTTTGGTATAGCGCATCTGTAAAAGGAGGAATTACTCTGAATGTACGGCTAATATATAATAGCAAACAAAACTTACCTGTTCGAATATATTAATATCATAAGTATTATCATCATCGGCAAAATAAAACACTCCCTCGGTGGCATTTTCTCTTAACCATTGGAGGCCACGATTACGATTTGAAACACCTCTGGGTTTGGCCTTGGCTTTTTTATATTCATCAGGCATGGGAGCTGGAATATATAGAACATTATTATAAATCTTATACATATTTATATGAGTAAAACTATAACTTACCCAAAAAATACTCATAAGGCACTCCAATTCTATTTAATATTTGTATAACATTATCCGATGTCCGATTGGCATCTTCTATAACCAACCACAGCAGATTGACGACATGTTTGAGCGTGTAACCCAAACGTGTCAGTTCAGCCAATTGTTCTGGACGGCGATAAGTGGGTGTGATTATATACAATGGAGGCTATAAATTATAAATTTTATTTAAGGAAATTAAATTTTACTAATTTATGATTTTAAATATTTAATTACAAAAATATAAAATAAAACACTTTATTACATATATGCATATAATATACATTAATATATATTATGTATATATTAAATTTAAGTTAAAATAATAAAACCATGTGCCAAGTATTGTTTAAAAACATGCAATCTGTAACACGTAATGTAAAGTATTAAAAATCATAATAAAATTAAAATAAAAAAACTTAAAAAAAATGTGTTTTATTGACCACACTGTAGTCTGGTTGTGGTCTAGACTAATTATTAATACTTACTACCCCAGACAAAAACCTTGAAATTGAGAAAAAATCTTATGTAAAATGAAATTTAGTGGGAAAATCGGTCCGAATTTTTTTCAGAAATTTGGATGAGATATTGGACCTAGCTCAATTCTGAATTCATTTTAGGATTCAGCATAGGGTTAAGTTTGGAATACAAAATTTTAGTAACTCTCGGCCTCAAGATCGCGAGATAATAGCTCAAATTGCTCAAAATAAAAAATTATCGGGAATTTTGATGAAATATTGGTCCTAGGTCCATTCCGAGACCATTTTTGGATTCAGCGTGCGATTTTACCAGAAAGGTGACTTTCCAGCCACATCCGGCCAGTAGTTTCCGAGTTTGAAGCAAACAAAAAAATAAATAGGAAATTTTGATCCAGTAAGGGTCCTACCTAGGTCCAACAATCATAAAATTTTTGGATTTTTTTATTTTTGCTTCAAACTCGGAAACTACTGCCCGGATGTGGCTGGAAAGTGACCTTTCTGGTAATTTCCCACGCTGAATCCGAAAATGGACTCAGAATGGACCTAGGACCATTATTTCATCAAAATTCCCGAATTTTTTTATTTTGAACATTTAGTGCTATTATTCCGGGATTTTGAGGACGAGAACTACTGAAAATTTAAATTTGGGACTAGAATTTCTACTGAATCCAAAAATGGTTTCAGAATTGACCTAAGTCCAATATTTCATCAAAATTTCTGAAAAATAAATTTTGAACCAATTTTACTACGAAATTCCATTTTGTCGCAAAATTTCTCTATTAATGATGGTTCTTGTCTAGACTAATTTTAAAACTTACTAGCAAAGACAAAAACCTTGCAATTGAGAAGAAATCATATGTAAAATGAAATTTCGTGGGAAAATCGGTCCGAATTTTTTTTCAGAAAATTGGATGAGATATTGGACCTAGATCAATTCTGAATTCATTTTCGGATTCAGCATAGGGTTAAGTTTGGAATACAAAATTTTAGTAACTCTCGGCCTCAAGATCGCGAGATAATAGCTCAAATTGCTCAAAATAAAAAATTATCGGGAATTTTGATGAAATATTGGTCCTAGGTCCATTCCGAGTCCATTTTTGGATTCAGCGTGCGATTTTACCAGAAAGTTGACTTTCCAGCCACATCCGGCCAGTAGTTTCCGAGTTTGAAGCAAACAAAAAAATAAATAGGAAATTTTGATCCAGTAAGGGTCCTACCTAGGTCCAACAATCATAAAATTTTTGGATTTTTTTATTTTTGCTTCAAACTCGGAAACTACTGGACGAATCTGGCTGGAAAGTGACCTTTCTGGTAATTTCCCATGCTGAATCCGAAAATGGACTCAGAATGGACCTAGGACCAATATTTCATCAAAATTCCCGAAAATTTTTTATTTTGAACATTTAGTGCTATTATTTCGGGAATTTGAGGACGAGAACTACTGAAATTTTAAATTTGGGATTAGAATTTCTACTGAATCCAAAAATGGTTTCAGAATTGGACTAGGTCCAAAGTTTCATCAAAATTTCTGAAAAATAAATTTTGGACCAATTTTACTACGAAATTCCTTTTTTCCGCAAAATTTCTCTATAATTGATGGTTCTTGTCTAGACTAATTTTAAAACTTACTAGCCAAGACAAAAACCTTGAAATTGAGAAGAAATCCTACGTAAAATATAATTTTGTGGGAAAATCGTTCCGAATTTTCTTTCAGAAATTTGGATGAAATATTGGACCTAGCTCAATTCTGAATTAATTTTCGGATTCAGCATAGGTTTAAGTTTCGAATACAAAATTTTAGTCACTCTTGGCCTCAAGATCGCGAGATAATAGCTCATATTGCTCAAAATAAAAAATTATCGGGAATTTTGATGAAATATTGGTCCTAGGTCCATTCTGAGTCCAATTTCGGATTCAGCGTGCAATTTTACCAGAAAGGTGACTTTCCAGCCACATCCGGCCAGTAGTTTCCGAGTTTGAAGCAAACAAAAAAAATAAATAGGAAATTTTGATCCAGTAAGGGTCCTAGGTCCAACAATCATAAAATTTTTGGATTTTTTTTTTATTTTTGCTTCAAACTCGAAAACTACTGGCCGGATGTGGCTGGAAAGTGACCTTTCTGGTAATTTCCCACGCTGAATCCGAAAATGGACTCAGAATGGACCTAGGACCAATATTTCATCAAAATTCCCGAAATTTTTTTATTTTGAACATTTAGTGCTATTATTCCGGGATTTTGAGGACGAGAACTACTGAAATTTTAAATTTGGGATTAGAATTTCTACTGAATCCAAAATTGGTTTCAGAATTGAACTAGGTTCAAAATTTCATCAAAATTTCTGAAAAATAAATTTTGAACCAATTTTACTACGAAATCCATTTTGTCGCAAAATTTCTCTATTAATGATGGTTCTTGTCTAGACTAATTTTAAAACTTACTAGCCAAGACAAAAACCTTGAAATTAAGCAGAAATCCCACGTAAAAAAAAATTCGTGGGAAAATCGGTCTGAATTTTCTTTCAAAAATGTGGATGATATATTGGACCTAGATAAATTCTGAATTCATTTTCGGATTCAGCATAGGGTTAAGTTTGGAATATAAAAATTTAGTCACTCTCGGCCTCAAGATCCCGAGAAAATAGCACAAATTGCTCAAAATAAAAAATTGTCGGGAATTTTGATGAAACATTGGTCCTAGGTCCATTCGGAGTCCATTTTCGGATTCAGCGTGCGATTTTACCAGAAAGGTGACTTTCCAGCCACATCCGGCCAGTAGTTTCCGAGTTTGAAGCAAACAAAAAAATAAATAGGAAATTTTGATCCAGTAAGGGTCCTAGGTCCAAAAATCATAAAATTTTTGGATTTTTTTTATTTTTGCTTCAAACTCGAAAACTACTGGCCGGATGTGGCTGGAAAGTGACCTTTCTGGTAATTTCCCACGCTGAATCCGAAAATGGACTCAGAATGGACCTAGGACCAATATTTCATCAAAATTCCCGAAATTTTTTTATTTTGAACATTTAGTGCTATTATTCCGGGATTTTGAGGGCGAGAGTTACTGAAATTTTAAATTTGGGACTAGAATTTCTACTGAATCTAAAAATGGTTTCAAAATTGACCTAAGTCCAATATTTCATCAAAATTTCTGAAATATAAATTTTGAACCAATTTTACTATGAAATTCGTTTTTTCGCAAAATTTCTTTATAATTGATGATTCTTGTCTAGACTAATTTTAAAACTTACTAGCCAAGACAAAAACCTTGATATCGAGAAGAAATCCTACGTAAAATGAAATTTTGTGGGAAAATCGGTCCGAATTTTCTTTCAGAAATTTGGATGAAATATTGGACCTAGCTCGATTCTGAATTAACTTTCGGATTCAGCATAGGTTTAAGTTTCGAATACAAAATAAAAAATTGTCGGGAATTTTGATGAAACATTGGTCCTAGGTCCATTCGGAGTCCATTTTCGGATTCAGCGTGCGATTTTACCAGAAAGGTGACTTTCCAGCCACATCCGGCCAGTAGTTTCCGAGTTTGAAGCAAACAAAAAAATAAATAGGAAATTTTGATCCAGTAAGGGTCCTAGGTCCAAAAATCATAAAATTTTTGGATTTTTTTTATTTTTGCTTCAAACTCGAAAACTACTGGCCGGATGTGGCTGGAAAGTGACCTTTCTGGTAATTTCCCACGCTGAATCCGAAAATGGACTCAGAATGGACCTAGGACCAATATTTCATCAAAATTCCCGAAATTTTTTTATTTTGAACATTAAGTGCTATTATTCCAGGACGAGAACTACTGAAATTTTAAATTTGGGATTAGAATTTCTACTGAATCCAAAATTGGTTTCAGAATTGAACTAGGTTCAAAATTTCATCAAAATTTCTGAAAAATAAATTTTGAACCAATTTTACTACGAAATTCCTTTTTTTTCGCAAAATTTCTCTATAATTGATGGTTCTTGTCTAGACTAAAACTTACTAGCCAAGACAAAAACCTTGAAATTGAGAAGAAATCCTACGTAAAATATAATTTTGTGGGAAAATCGTTCCGAATTTTCTTTCAGAAATTTGGATGAAATATTGGACCTAGCTCAATTCTGAATTAATTTTCGGATTCAGCATAGGTTTAAGTTTCGAATACAAAATTTTAGTCACTCTCGGCCTCAAGATTGCGAGATAATAGCTACAATTGCTCAAAATAAAAAATTATCGGGAATTTTGATGAAATATTGGTCCTAGGTCCATTCTGAGTCCATTTTCGGATTCAGCGTGCGATTTTACCAGAAAGGTGACTTTCCAGCCACATCCGGCCAGTAGTTTCCGAGTTTGAAGCAAACAAAAAAATAAATAGGAAATTTTGATCCGGTAAGGGTCCTAGGTCCAACAATCATAAAATTTTTGGATTTTTTTTTTATTTTTACTTCAAACTCGGAAACTACTGGCCGGATGTGGCTGGAAAGTGACCTTTCTGATAATTTCCCACGCTGAATCCGAAAATGGACTCAGAATGGACCTAGGACCAATATTTCATCAAAATTCCCGAATTTTTTTTATTTTGAACATTTAGTGCTATTATTCCGGGATTTTAAGGACGAGAACTACTGAAATTTTAAATTTGGGACTAGAATTTCTACTGAATCCAAAAATGGTTTCAGAATTGACCTAAGTCCAATATTTCATCAAA